AAACAAATGGTAAGAAGACGCTTGGTCGCACTTAAAGTGAAGTCATTAACCATTTCTCCGGTAAAGAATTAAATGGACTTATACATCTTATAACTGGACAAGCTATTCATCATTTCATGGGAAATTTTAAAATAAATACATGTACTGAGTGAATAGCGAAATGTGCAGACCACGGTCAGACGGCACAGATGTGTTTGCTGATCTTGGTCTGCACTGGTCAAATGAGCAGATTTAACTGGTTCATTATGAAAAATGTCATATCTAGAAAATGCCAAAAACCCAAAATGTTTGTGGGTCCGTCCGTCACGGTGTTTGAATGTAGGCCGTGTCACGTGTAGCTGAAAATGTATATCTTTTATAAAGAGTCGTGCAATTATCTTAGAATTGGGGCATTCATTTCCTATATACACATTTTAATTTTATTTTTATTGCTTTTAATCATCATTGTTGTTCTTTATGTCTATTTGTTTTAGGATTTCGTAATTGTTTATGTATTTTATCGTCGGCAAATTTTATTTTCCACCTTAATTCTTTTGCTTTGGCAATTATATGAAACAAGTTCTTATGAAAAAATTTATCTAACCTATAGAAAAACTAAAGGCCGCTTTAAAACATGTAGTAAAACCCTACGTGATCAGTCGCAAACCGAGAGAAAGAGATTTCTAACTCGTACGAAAGAGAAGATTAATCTTCATGAAACATATTATATTATAATAAGTATTTAGCGTCTTACGTTACAGAAACAACAAATTAGCAATGCTTAATAATTCTTTATTTATTCTACATTCTTTGCAACAAAGTCCCAGTAAAACTGTTTATTGTATGTGGTTGATAATGTATGCAGTCGCCGGTTGTTAAGTGGTGCTGAACAAACACTTCATCCCCAGAATGCAATTGTGCTACCGTTGTTTCCGATGAACAGTCGTCATAATTGCCCGCATCTCCCGCCAAAATTCGACCAATCACATCCGTGTTCCTCATAAGGTCAAGGACAATAAAATGACCGCCTTTAGAGCAGATGGAGACGGAGAACAAGTAAGTGCCAGTGTATGGGGGCGAAAATCCTCCTGGAATAGGATGATAGGCGCCACCAAGATTGAGCTGTACGTCATCGAAAATGATTCTTTCATTCGCCCCAGGGGACACGCTTTTAGTTAAATGTGCCTTGTATGCAATAGGTCCTGAAATTTTCAAAATACAAAATATAGTTATAGGTTTAATCTTATTTTATCTATTACTAAACGCAACATCGACAGTTTTTAGTTTCGAAATTTACGACTGTTAAAATTAACAATTATTATTTTGAAGTGCATAATTGTAAAATTTCGAACTCTTCTATTAAAGAAATAAGCAGAAAGCTACATGTATATACTGATCATATAATCATCGCTAATAAATAGTATGTAAGTTTTAAAAATAATAAAAAAAACAACGTTTTACGTACCTGTCTCGCATTTTTCAACCCTGGCAGTTAGATTAGCCAATGTATTGACAATATCATCTATACTGGCCTCTTCCAGTAATATTCGGGCATTTCTATCATTCCTGTGGATGCAAGTTATCCCAAAAGCAAAGCAAATAATAGCAAAGTATTATAAGTGCATTATATACTTTAAGGCAAGTGTAAATGTAGGGTTAAGGGGTAAGGGTTTAGGGTTAGATATCAAACCATCAGCCATACACGTCATATTAAAGACAAAGCGGAGTTGAATTTGATTTGATTGTTAACGAATTTTTATTTAGAACAAAGATAAGGATTGCGTGCATAGCGCTGGGCACCATACTTAGTAATATCCCAGTACATGTATCTTGAAAGACATACTTTGTAACGGTCCGGGGTCAAAAGGTTAAGTCTTGTTTCTCTAAAACCTTTAACAATATTTATACAATGTATGCTTAAATTGCTTGAAAATTTAGTCAATCATTTAGATAATTTCCATATTTTTAGTTGCAAAGATATTTGGTAGCTTTGTTTCGATAGTGTAAAAAGAAACTCTAGAAAAAAATATACTGTATATTGTATATATAATATATAGACCAGGGGTTTCCAGCAGTAAGTTATTTCTTTGAATTTGTTTTATCGATTTATTGCGGGTTGGTTGGTACAATGGCATGGTTTGGAATTGCATTTTGACACGTAGAAAATCAGTGGGGACTGCACTGGTTGCACAATTGTGTCCGACCTAGCAAAAATACGATATTCCATCCGAAACATCGGTTTGATGTTCAAAAACGGGTTTTTAAAGTAGGGATGTCAACGTCTAGTGATGTCATTTAATTAGCTGCAATTTGATATATAGCTTTATATGATTTACGCAAGAATGACTGCAATTTTGACTTATACTGGACTAGTGACATTCGGCCGATTTGGCGTGTTCAACCCATTGTTTTTATATTATATATACAGTATATATATTTTTTTCTAGAATTACTTTTACACTATCCCAACACTGTGCCGAGTCCCTAAGAGTAATGCACTAATCGGTGGCAACGCCGGTAAAACATTAAATTTTTATGCTCCCCGAAAAATTTCGGGGGAGCATATAGTCGGCGCCATGTCCGTCTGTCCGTCCGTTGTCTTGTCCGGAGCATAACTTGAAAACCCTTGGAGATAATTTGTTTAAACTTCATACAGTGGTAGAGGGCATTGAGGGGGAGTGCAGTGTTAAAGAACCATAACTCTATTTTGCCCGGTTTTTGAATTCCCTTATAGACAAATCTTGCCCGGGGCATAACTCTAAAACTATAAGAGATATCAACATGAAACTTTGTAGGTGAATAGATCTTAATGGGTAAATGTGCAGTGCATAAGAACAATAACTCTTTTTGTCCTAATTTTGGAGTTATTGCCCTTTGTTAATTTTAACACTTTGAACTTTGTCCGGAACATAACTCTAAAACTATAAGAGATATCAAAATGAAAAATTGTAGGTAGATAGATCTCATTGAGTAGAGGTGCAGTGCAAAAGAACCATAACTCTGTTAAGGCTCATTTTTGAATAATCTCCCCTTTTAGAAAAATCTTGTCCAGGACATAGCTGTAAAACTATAAGAGATATCAACATGAAACTTTGTAGGTAGATATATCTCAATGGGTAAATGTGCAGTGCACAAGAATCATAACTCTGCCTTGCGTAATTCTGGAGTAATTGGCCTTTGTTTATTTTTACTTTTTGAAGTTTTCCGGGACATAACTCGGAAATCATAAGAGATATCATCAAGAAACTTTGTAGGTTGATAGATCACATTGATTAGAAGTGCAGTGCAAAGAACAGTAATTCTGCCTTGTCTAATTTTGGAATTATTGCACTTTGAACTTTTTTGATGGGCTCAAACCGGGCTCTTGTTACCCTTTGGAATTAACCCTATAGGTCATCATAGTTCATTTTACAAGATTGGGGACTGGACAATGGTCATTTTTCTAACTTTGAGAATTGATTCCGCCAACATTAAGTTTTAACAAAACAAAATCTAAACTTTAAATTTTCATCAAAATGGAGTCATTTTAACGGTTAGTTTAATTTAAGCCAAACGTTTGAGATCGTCTGTTTGTAGAAGACACAATTTCTTACAGCCGTCTTACAACTATTTCGAGATAGGCAAGAAAATCTATATGATGGACAGAGAAATGTTTAGGAAAGTTTAACATAGAGACTTCCTACAAATGGGTGTGTGTGTGATCGGAGACTGACTTTCCTATTAGAACATGTACACAGGGAGCATATTCTCCAAAACGAGGAAATACTTTTTATTCTATAATTATGGTCATTTACGGACAAGTATAATCTGCTGTTCAAACTCATTCAAACATATGTACAATCAACCATCGCTTATTGAAAAATTTCCCGACTGTATCGGGGGGGGGGGGGGTGTTGGGGACTGAAAGGGATAGTCTAGTTCAGGCGACGAAAAATACTTCTTGGTTGTACGGAACTTTTTTGATGGGCTCAAACCGGGCTCTTGTTACCCTTTGGAATTAACCCTATAGGTCATCATAGTTCATTTTACAAGATTGGGGACTGGACAATGGTCATTTTTCTAACTTTGAGAATTGATTCCGCCAACATTAAGTTTTAACAAAACAAAATCTAAACTTTAAATTTTCATCAAAATGGAGTCATTTTAACGGTTAGTTTAATTTAAGCCAAACGTTTGAGATCGTCTGTTTTGTAGAAGACACAATTTCTTACAGCCGTCTTACAACTATTTCGAGATAGGCAAGAAAATCTATATGATGGACAGAGAAATGTTTAGGAAAGTTTAACATAGAGACTTCCTACAAATGGGTGTGTGTGTGATCGGAGACTGACTTTCCTATTAGAACATGTACACAGGGAGCATATTCTCCAAAACGAGGAAATACTTTTTATTCTATAATTATGGTCATTTACGGACAAGTATAATCTGCTGTTCAAACTCATTCAAACATATGTACAATCAACCATCGCTTATTGAAAAATTTCCCGACTGTATCGGGGGGTGGGGGGGGGGGGTGTTGGGGACTGAAAGGGATAGTCTAGTTCAGGCGACGAAAAAATACTTCTTGGTTGTACGGATTAGTCACATTAAAGACATTTAAAACTGGATCAAATAACAAAAAGTTTTAAAAAAAAGTTGTTCTTACTAGATGTTACATCTAGCAAGAAACTAGATGTTGTACTTCTAGTAAGAACAACTTTTTTTCACTTTTTGTTATTTGATTTAGTTTTAAATGTCTTTAATGTAACTATTTCGTACAACCAAGTTTTTTTACTTGGAACATCTTTAGATGGTCGTCATCGTTTTAAAAATTAAAATGGTTTAAAGTCAAAACCATAATAAAATGGTTGTTTGGTTTCGAAAGAGATTGTACATGACGTAAAGTGAGCACCAGATCATCCAAGGATGCTTAAATTGAAGAAAAATGGCAAGGCTAAAACATTCGCATCATCGGGACTCTAGATTCATTCGTACATTCACGGTATTGTGCTAAAACTAAAATATATGAATGATATTTTATTTCATAATATATTAAATATACAAGTCAAAGTCGATATAATATGCAGTCGTGAAGTGGTGTTAATTGAAGACTGCTACTAAGATTTATGCAGCGGGTGCTTCGGTGGCTGCATCAGCCGGTGCCTCCTCGGCGGTCACTTCACAAGCAGGGTTGTTCTCCCATTCAGCGACGCCTTCAGGAGCACCTAAAAACTCTACATTTTCTTCACACTGGAAATGAACACAAATAGATTTCAATTCAAAACATAAATTGATAATAAAAACTAATAAATTATGTTCAAAATTCTAATAAAATAGCTTAGTATGAGCAATAGCAAAAACCTGTCCACTTTTTCAAGAGTCAAGATAAGATAATAAAACGATTTACCTATTTGATTAAGTTAATGCGGACAAGTTTTAGAAAGAAAGTAATCATTTTACCTCTAGCAACATTCCTTTCTCGTCGGGAGTATCACCACAATGACATTTTCTGCCGTAAACTTCTGACTCGGATCCCGCCGGCATAAATGTGTCGAACAACATACAACCTAAAATAAATAAATATATAGTTAAGGTTATGTTACTGTGGAAATAATACGTTAACATGGAACTAATGTTTTTCTACAGCTCGTGAAGTTGTTGGTGATTACGTTCACATATTGTTTTTGCCAAAATGTGTTTTATATTAAACAGATTTAATGTGGTAAAACGACTTACACAACCAAAATATGAAATAGTAAGCCAGATGTATGCATAGTTACCAGTATTTTTTATCGAAATTAAACAGAAAAAAGACTTACCTTCTACGCATGCGCCATCATTGCAAATGCTCCCACAAGGACATTCCCTGCAATGATATTTTAATGTTTAGTAAATCAAACACTATTCCATTTGGGGAAAAACAGGAATGTCGTGGATGACAATTTGTAGCAATCAGATCAATTCTCATTTCCAAGGAAAATCAATTCAGTATAAATTCATGTTATTTAAAACTTTTTATCAAGAACATTTCTTTATTTTAATGTTTGTTTTACTGTTGTTTTACTGCCGATGTTTTTATTGTCATATTTCGACGGTCGACCCCCTAATCGTCGACCAATAATAAATTACGAATTTCTCCGTAAGTGACCGATTTCTTATTCTACATGAATTGAATCAGCGGTTAGTATTTCGTAATATTCAACGGTTTTACTTGTTAAAACGTTGTTGTTGTTTTTTTTTTTTGTTATAAAAAGAAATTTCCTTTTTAACTATATGATGCGTAATCATAAAAAGTTGTTAAAAAAAGTACTTCTATAGCATGATACAGTACACGTAACATATTTAGCAGTAAGACGCGTAAGAGCATTCGATAATCCTAGCGCTGTGGACTTGTTAGCTCCGAATGTTACATTAGATTCCCTCTTTACTCTGCTCAACTATCGCAAACATAGGTTCAGAAATATAATATTATTCAAACATGAATGTCAAACTTAACTTTTCAATATTCGATATAATTCCACTTAAACATTGGTGAAAGAGAAACATTTGGTAGTATTTACTTTGTATCGGTACAGGAGTTGTCTTCATCCTCGTCAGCAACAACAAAAGCTACAGCAACAACAAACAACAGTGCTACAGTTAAACGAACCATCTTTATCTCCAGGGATATAACTGAAATAATACAAGGATGAAAATGAAATATTGAAATGAAAAGATTCATTTTGTTCTGTTAAGACTGTAATAATATGACATTTTTAAAGATAAACAGCCTTAGTTTTTCTTTTTTTATTCTTTTTTATTGTTATCATTTGTTTAATAAGAAGTAGCAAAATCTACAAAAAAAACAACAAAAAACAAAACCTCGTCCTTAACTGACCTTCAGTAGTTGATAAATGATAATACAAATATGATTTTAGCATAATAAGATTATAAAGATATAAGTTTAACTGTATAATATTAAATCATTTGTATATATGAAAAATATGAGGTACACTAAAAAATGTTACATGTATAAACCTTTGTTCCTTTCGGAATTGTTCGGTCCAAAAAGTTCTTTTTTTAATACACAAACTGAATTGCTTTCACGCTCTTATATAGTTAACAAAAGGCCGATAGAACAAACGTGGCACTACGCTATCAAACATAACTCAGCCTACATTTGTTGTCAAACACCATCTGTGTAAGTCCCGACATCACATAACGAACGACATATGGACCAAAACAGACCCCTGCAGCACACTGGGTGTCAAATAAAAATGTTTATATATCACGCAAAGCCACGTACATCTATCGGTTCTATGACAAACCTAAGTTGACATCATAAATTTCCGTAGAAAAGCATGAAAACTCAGGCCAGAAGCTTTGTAACGTACATACATCACATTACAGCTAAAAAAATAATAGTGCAAAAAGGGGAACTTATATGTTGTTTATATGTTTGTTTTAAATACTGCAAATACCCTGATTTTTTTCTACATGTACACCGTAGGCGAATGTAGGGTATATAAAGAACAATATTAGTAGATGATCAGTAATTTGCAAATAAAAACGTTAAAAGCATATTTTTTCAGGAAATATGTCAAAGTATTCTTTGTTACCGAGCCCCTTAGGTGACATTTTCTAAACTTTTTTCCTGGGACTGAATTCGCCTTTACTAAATATTATGTCGTTATTACGAAATATTAATTAAACGGAATCACAACAGGTGTTTAAGACTCTTTCTTGAAGAGACCAGTAAGACCCTGGCCAGTAGATGACCCCTATTGATTTTTGGGTCAGTCGCCACAGGCCAATGTCACAATGACCTTAATTTTAAAAAAATATTCAGGGCCTTTTCCAACTGTTTTGGGAAAGGGCCTTTGGTTTTAATTTGGGAAAATTATGTGGTATTATGTGAGAAATTTTCAAAAATTGAAAAGCTACCTTACAGATGGGTTTTAAAGGGGCTGGAATATTTAGCACGAGGGTAACTGTTTACAGCGGTAGCCGTATCTCAAACTATATTTGAACGAAGATACAACTATGGTAAACAAAAAAATGTACAGATTGAAAAATGTATTTATAAATACTGTATTATTATTCGATTTTCCATAGTTTAATCTGAATTACATAAGAACGGTCTCAGTGATATCATTATATATTTAGACAAAATTGTCGATGTCAAAAATTTACATTAGATACTAATTAACATTACAGCGATGAAACAAATTGGTGCAAATAATGTGTTGACTTGAACTGATATAATATTTCAATGACTTGTCAATAACATTAAACAACCGGGACTATCAGTTTGAAAAATGACAGATAATGTACAATTTGCAAAGCTTGAGCTTTAACTTAAAACAAGTAAAAACGTATCATTGTCTAGAATATTAATATTGTGTATTGTGTTAAAAACCTATCAAATTAAATGAGCCGCGTCACGACAAAATAAACATAGTGGGTTTGCGACCGCGCAGTCTGATCAGGATCCATGCTATTCGCTGTCAGTTTCTCCACTTGTAATAGAGTTGGTAAGCGAACAGCATACATGGATCCTGATCAGACTGCGCGGATGCGCAGGCTGGTCTTGATCCATGCTGGTCGCAAACTCACTATGTAGGTTTTGTCGTGACGCGGCTCATATTATTTTAAGTTATTTTATATGGAATATCAAGTTTAACTAAAAATGACATATTCAATTTAAGAAATACTGTTCCATTAAACTCCATGATGCTGTTACAAGACATACTTTGTTTCATACCGCCTCCGTGGTCGAGGGGTTAGAGTCGATGACTTCTAATCCAGTTACCTCTCTGGCGTGGGTTCGATCTCCGGAAGATGCTTTGGTATTTTAGCACGGAGGAAGGTAGTCTAGTACTGGTGTAACTCTCCAGGAACGATGGTTAGGAAATTCGTACAGCTCCATTACTCGTTAAGGTGATTCCGCTTTGTCAGCCATGTTTGTTTTCACAAAGTCTGTCCAAAGTGAAAGTAGGCCAAAATTCATATAACAACAAAGCTCTTATTTTAAAATGATGAACCATTTGAAAGTACACTTCCAGGTTTATATTTTAAGGACAATTATAAACAAAAATAAAAAATGATAACAATAAGAATATTTACCTTGAATGTGCTACATTTCTGAAGACCAAAAACATTCTGTTGCAAAGTTTTATGCACATTTCATGAATGGCAAAATCCTTTTTTAATTCTGTTTTAGTGCCTACAAAAGCTATTTTTTGCAGCAAATACAAAAATCTTTCAAAACTTAACTCCAAATAAATCCATATCTCATGTCCTTCTAAGCACATGGCCTCCATTATTTTTTGTAAAAAAGTAGTGCAAGAAAACAATCATCATTTATAGCCTTATGAACTGCAATTAAAATGAAAACACAATCAAACTTTAAAATCTAACCTTTTTTATGTGTAACAGTGAAGTGTGTCTGTTTGTTATGTACACAAGAGATAGATAAATGATGTTTATTTTCATGGTACTACTTTTTTACACATGTCATGGTGGCCATGTTTTTTCAAGGTCAGATAAACTACTTTCCTAAGGTTTATATTTTTTAAAGTTTTTTGTATTTTCTGCAAAAAGTAGCTTTTGTAGGCACTAAAACAGACTTTAAAAAGTATTTTGCCATTCATGAAATGTGCATAAAACTTTTCAACAGAATGTTTTTGGTCTTCAGAAATGTAGCACATTCAAGGTAATTTTTCTTATTGTTATCATTTTTATTTTTGTTTAAAATAGTCTTTAAAACATAGAACTGGAAGTGTACTTGCAAATGGCTCATCATATAACAATGTGAGCTTTGTTGTTATATAAATTTTGGCCTACTTTCACTTTGGACCCACATAGTGAAAACAAACATGGCTGACAAAGCAGAATCACCTTAAATAAGTTCAATATGGGACTTACATTCATTCAATAAACTCTATTTTGTCGTATTATAATTTACTAATGTTTTTGATATGAAAGTACGTTAAAACATATTAAAACGATTGTATGTTGTTATAATATGAACAGGCTAACACATAAACATAGATACGAACACCTATCACCTCTGGTTTATTCTAGATGCAGATGGTTTCCGATTTTTTCGAGTCGGTCACCATATTTTTCTCAGATATATAGTTAGTTTTAGCAGAATAACAAAAATTCACGCTGGCGCCAATGGAACTGGTTCGAATTCTGTACAGTCTGTACACGTCCATGTATGTGATCAATTGATAATTGAAAATTTTGTTGTTTTTTAAAGCTGAAACTATAAAATGACTCGCATATAGTAATTTCATGTATGAATAAAACAGTGGGAACTCATTTTCACACTAGTATTTAACATGCTGTGTTGCAGCATTTAAACTCATTTAAACGGTGGCATATTTCTGCCAACTGTAAACCATAGAATTGTTGCGTTAACTATCTGACTAGAAAATAACGAATAAGTATATAGCTTCTTAAAACACTAAAATGTGCCCAGAATTGCTAACACCGTTAAGTATCAAGTAATTATCTATATAAATAGATAAATTTTCAGTTAATAGATAAACCAGAATGTTTCGGACATATAAACATGTGTAAACCAGTATTGAACAGAACAGAACAGATTTCAATGCAGCCATAGGCATTATTTTTACACAATCGAAATAATAATAATAATATGATGATGATGATATAATAATGATGATTATGATGATGATGATGATAAGATATTTATACGTTGAGATATTAAATATGATATAAATATTAAAATATTAAATAGATATAAAATATGCGTATAAGTTTCAAAGAAAAACTAAAATATTCTTTTTTCTATGACCTCCAAAAATGAAAACTATTATAAATAAATTAATGAATAAATAAATAAATAAACTACAACAATTAGAAGGTAAGTCTTTTTTTGTTTAATTTCGATAAAAAAAAGTATTTGCAAGCAACTATTACATCTAGACACCAACTGGAACTTCGAACGTTGACGTGTTTCATTAGTTCTTGCGTTAGATAGAAGCAAGATTTCAGGCATTTCTATGGCGATTTATGATGTCAACCTACGCTTGTCACAGAAGGGATAGGTATATGTGGCTTTGAATGCGTATGTAAACATGTTGAATTTTTCTACTTGACATCCGGTATGCTGCAGGGCTCTGTTTTGGCCCATATGTTGTTAACCTTGCAAGGTCTGTCCTCATCAGCTGTTACTTGACCACAAATGTGGGCAGACTGATGTTTTTACTGGACATTGTGTGGACTATAAAAGGCCATGGACAGATTCAGACTGCGCATTGAAAATCAAATTTTGTGAAGTGAACAATTCCGGAAGGATCAAAGGTTTGTACAACTTTTTGTTTCATTTCAAATACCTTCAAACAAATTTATACATTAACTAGAATAATATATTTAAAAGCAACAATAACGATTAATCTTATCTCTTACTAAAATATTGAGACTATTACTACGACTTACAGGAATTAAATGTGTTATATAATTATGCCAAAGTCCTATTAATATTTGTATTGCTATGCTGAGCTGGTGTTGGGGCATCATTTTTTCGTGGTTGTTTTATAATACTCGTAAAATAAATGATAACTCGTTTTTTTCTCTCGTTTTTTTTTTTTTTTTTTTTTTTTTTTTAGAAATAGTATAACACTGACGTGTGCTACTGTATCATTACTATTCTACATTTCGTTCCTGAAATCTCTATGCATACCATACCTTTTCAGAGTAATCACCTGAGTTAAAAATGGTCCGTTTAACTGTAGCACTGTTGTTTGTTGTTGCTGTTGCCTTTGTTGTTGCTGATGAGGATGAAGACAACTCCTGTGCCGAAACAAAGTAAATATTAACATATTGTTGTGTTACACTAATTCATATTTAGTCATTTAATCAAAGTAAAGGAAATGAAAATGTAACATTGGGGCTAAAATGCCCATGGAACATGTCAAAGATGTCAAAAATAGTCAAAGGAATAACGAAGTGACACTCTTACATCTTAATGTTTATTTTATATACTGCATCTAATACTAGAGAGATGTTATTATATATTGTAATATCTTTTCTCTTTATTTCTTAGTAACTCATATACTTAAACTGTCTCTTCTGTGTATTTTCTAACTTCTTTACATTGAAAAAGTAATGCATTCTAAGGAATTATTATTTACCAAGTAAAATATTGAACATTGCGATCTTGGCGATGAAGGCCTTTCATTCTTAGAAAAAAGTTGCAACATTGGTTTGCATTTACCGAATTTATTTCTCTTGCTAGAATTTCCGATATATATAAATCGTTATTCATGAAATTTACTTCATTTGCAACTGTAATGGAAATTATATTTATATGAAATTACAATTCCATTGCAGTGATTGTCCATGTGGAAGCATTTGCAATGATGGCGCATGCGTAGAAGGTACATGTATTTCTTTGTAATCGGTCTTTAAAGCTTAATTTTGATAATAGATTTTATTAGTTGTTCGACAACAAAAAACAAGATTGTCATAAAGAAATAGAAAAACAAAGTTAGAGGAATGTCAAAATATCTTAAAACATTTAGGAATTATCATTCTGTAGAAAACATTGGTTAACGTATTATCACTTCAACTTTTTATGTTCATTTATTTTAGGTTGTTTGTTGTTCGACACATTTATGCCGGCGGGATCCGAGTCTGAAGTGTACGGCAGAAAATGTCATTGTGGCGATACCCCCGACGAGAAAGGAATGTTGCTAGAGGTAAAAATATTATGACAAAAAACTTAATGAAACTTGTCTATATCAAACCAACACCAAAATTAAATTTCATAAGGACTTCATTTTTATATGCAGTTGTGTAAATACTACATTATAAAATGGGAAAGTGTTGCTGTTACTAAGCTATTCCAGAATAAGACAGATTATAAGTATTTATTATAATTTTATGTTTCTAATTTGAAATATTTCTTTTTTTCCAGTGTGCTGAAAATGTAGAGTTTGTAGGCGCTCCCGAAGGCGTCGCTGAATGGGAGAACAACCCTGCTTGTGAAGTGACAGCCGAGGAGGCCCCGGCTGATGCTGCTACCGAAGCACCCGCTGCTTAAATCATTAAGACCTTCATCATGTTCAAGTTACACCAAGTTCACGACCGCATGTTATTCCGACTTTGACTTGTATATAGAACATAATTATTATTATTATGAAATAAAGTAGTGTCATTATTTATTATTTATTTATTTATTGGTCAAAAGTAAAGAGGTGATGATTAAATGTATATTTCAAACGCACTGCCAAAAGTACCATTCACCGAGTGGAAAACCAGACCAAATGTTTCTGTGATTGCCGTAGCTGACGTTCAAGATTAATTATATCTGTCATATGTTGCGGTTCGGATCGGAATATCCGTCCCGAGGTGACCCGCCCATTGGGCGGTAACGAGGCTTGCCGAGTTACCGCCCATGTGCGGGTGACCGAGGGACGGATATTCCGATCCGAACCGCAAACATGTCAGATATTTTTTCTTGCATACCCTACCATATTCCATTATATTTTAAATTCTTTATCTTTAATTTCAATGGAAATTTATATCATTACAACTACTTTCTTGCAACAGCGTATGAATTACAACTTCATTCATAACGGTAAAATGACGTCATCCTAAGCGTGGCAATGTACAGCACGCGACTCATCTGGCACCCCCATGCCAGATGAAATTTCCGGCATGGGTAAAACGGAAACGCCAGTCTGATCTGCAAGAAAAATCGTGTTGTGTCCACTTTGATAACGTCAAAATATATAACTACATGACTAGTATAATTAAGTAATTTACTTCAAACTCGGAAGCAAAGTATCACATGAACAGTTACGATTAAACGATAGCAATTAACGGCATTAGGAATGTTTAACACAAGACATATTTCATTTTTAAAGTGTACATGTATTTTGAGTTTCTGTGACCTGCTAGAACATCACATCAAAACCATTTATATACATGTAGTTCAACATCGCGAATGTAGAGTCCTATAAAAAGGCACGTGAATGAAGAGTCCTAAAGAAGATATTTCACCTCGATAACGTGAATGTAGAGTCCTAAAGAAGAAATTTCATTTCAATAAGTAAACGTTAATATATAGTCCCAAAGAAGACATTTCACCTCAATAACATCAATGTAGAGTCTTTGGAGAAGAATCTTCACCTCAATAATAGTCCTATTAAAAACACACGTTATGCAAGTAAGGTGAATGTTGAGTCCCAAAAAAGGTATGTACGTAACTTACAACGTAAGTCATATTACTAGAATGTAGTGAGATCGGTTGACCCCCCAATTTATTTCCGCTATAAGAAGTTTCTATGCTCCTGCAGATGAGTTCTATTTCGCAGTTTTCATTTTGCCTGAATGATAACTGCACCGCCTCTACCCCCCACCCCCATCAAAATTATACATCAATCGCAAAGAAAATTTTGGACATGTGACAGGCTAAAATGGCCTCAGATCGATCTTAAGGTAATGTGTAACCAACACTGAAAAGCCTTTTACTCTATCTCAATCCATTGAGAAGTTGCAGCACTTTGAAATCAGTTTTGATGGGCAAAAAAAAAATGCAAAATAGTGATTTTTTTGGCAATTTTGAGACATCCCCCGTTGCCATGGTTACAAGAAATTTAAGATTGAGCATGCTGTCACAGAGGCTTTGGTCCGGTCTACATTTGTGACAAGTTTCATCAGTATTGAACCATTTTTCATAGTTTCATAGAAGTTTGAACTTGTAACAGGAGGCTTTTCAATGAAAACGGCCATGTTTCACAATATGCTCATGCGGTAAAAGGTTAAGTAATTACGAAATATTAATTCGTTTTTACGAAATATTATTTCGTAATTACGAAATATCAATTCATAAAAACGAGACAGAATTCGTAATTACGAGTCTCATTCGACTACATGCAATTATATTGATGTTAAAGCTTCTATTTTTCTTACAATATCATGTCATGGCCGTTACATGACCAACTGTAAAGTATTTGTCATTGTCATTATACTCTCAACAAATTTGTAGTAAAACATGCGAAACATGGACTCTTAAATTATCCGAGTATTTGCAAATGATCTTTATCGTTTTTGATGAGATTTCTTTCTTCTTCTAACTCACGTGAGGAGTTCCGAAGTAAAGCAAACTTGATGTCATTTATCACCCAGCATCGAGCATCTTTAAATCCAACAACCGTAGTTGTATATGCCGGGATCAATTTTTACAGTGGCATAACCAGTGATTTTTTATGGTAATACAAGTTTAAGGTTTCAGCTCAAGGTAGATGGCTACAGAAATTCTTTAATTTTACAGATTCAACACAGATGCTGATATTGTCACAACGAGATTTACATTAGTTAGTGAAATACTAATTAACATTATAGCGATGAAAGAATTAATTGGTTTCAAATAGAAAATTAATACTATACTTGATGCAAAAAATGTGTTGACCTGAATTGATATCATACATGAGTTTTTTTCTTTCAATGACTTGTCAAAAACAGTAAACAAACGGACCTATCAGTTTCAAAATTAACAGATGCAAAGCTTTAGCTTTTGCATATCATTGTCTACAATATGAATATTGTGTACTGTGTTAAAAACCTATCAAATTTTAATATGGTATACCGACTTTAACTGAAAATGATTAACGTCATATAGTTGGATTCATGTTTTTACTGTAAGCTGTCCTAGTTTTAACTATGTGATAAATAAAACACTATATTCGTACATATCTTCATTACTTATTTTATTCATATGGAACCTACGTTCATTCAGTATCCTCTATTTTGTCGTATTATAACTTATTAACATTAAAACGATTGCATATGTTGTTTTAATTTGACTAGGTTAACACATAAACACATATATGGACACCCATTGTTCCTTCTTTTACCCTGCAGATGGTTTCCGAAGTTTTCAAGTCCTCCACCATATTTTTTTCAGATATAGCTGGTTTTCACAGACATAGACACTAATGACACCAATAGAACTGGTTCGAATCCTGAACAGTCTGTACACGTCCATGGATAAGATGATTGGCAATTTTGATGTTTTAAAGTTGAAACTATAAATGACTCGTATATGGTAGCTTCAGAACTCATTATCATATTTAACATGTTGTGTTGCGGCAATTCAACTCATTTGAACTAGAGATTAGTATGGTGGCATATTCCTGCCAATAGTTAACCATATAATTATCGCGTTAATTATCTGACTAACTAATTAACTACGGTGGCACAAAGGAGACATTTGTGCGTTCATATTTATCTCGTGCGCACGAGATACAATGTCATGACCATGAGATACTAAGTCGTGGTCACGAGATACTATGTCGTGGCCACGAGATACTCGAGTGGTGTACACGGGATACTATGTCGTGGCCACAAGTTACTTAGTTGAGGGAACGAGATACTTAAGTGGTGCACACTTAAGTATCTCGCGGCCACGACTTAATAATTCGTCGCGACGACATAGTATCCCCTGTGCACGACTTAATAATCTCATGCCAACGACTTAGTAACTCGTGGCCACAACATAGTATCTCGTTTCCACAACTTAATAAGCTCGTGCCCATGACTTAGTTACTCGTTGCCACAACATAGTAACTCGTTCCCACGACTTAATTATCTCGTTCCCACGACTTAGTAACTCGTGGCCACGAATGAGCATATAACTTAAAAAAACACTAACAAGTACCAACACTTCACATTTTGTTAAAATGTCTGTTCACAACCTCAACTTGTGAATGTTTCTCAAGCAGACAGAAGTCTAGTGTTAACCAGTATTGAACAGAACAGAACATATTTCGATGCTGTCATAGCCATTATTTTACACAATAGAAATACATGTAATAAAAGTGGTAAAATAAAATATGATGATTATATGATGATGACGATGATGATGAAATATTTATACGTTGAGATATTAACATATAAAATATGTGTATAAGTTTCAAAGAAAAACTACATCTTATTTCTATGGCCTTTAAAAATGAAAACTTATATAAAAAATAAATATACATTTGTATTACAACGGTCCAAGAATTTGCAAGCAACTAATAAATCTGGAAACCGGCTGGAACTTTGAAGGTTGACATGTTTCAAGTTCTTGCGTTAGATAGAAACAGGAGATTTCAGGCATTTCTATGGTGATTTATGAGGTCAACCTACGCTTGTAACAGAAGGGAAAGGTATATGTGGCTTTAAATGCGTATATAAACATATTAAATTTTGCTGCTTGACATCCGGTATGCTGCAGGGCTGTTTTGGCCCATATGTTGTTAACTATGCAAGGTCTGTCCTCATCAGCTGTTACTTGACCACAAATGTGGGCAGACTGATGTTTTTACTGGACATAGTGTGGACTATAAAAGGCCGTGCAGAATTACAGACTTCGCATTGAAAAATCAAGTTTTGTGAAGTGAACAATTCCAAAAGGATCAAAGGTTTGTACAACTTTTTGTTTCATTACACATACCTTCAAACAAATTTATACATTAACTAGAATAATACGTTTAAAAGCAACAATAGCGATTTATCTTATCTCTTACTATTACTACTATGACTTACAGGAATGATCACATTAGTAATTATGCTAAAATCCTAGTAATATTCGTATAGCTATGCTGTTGTTGGGACATTTTTTTCGTGGTTGTTTAATAATACTCGTAAAACAAATGATAACGCCTTTTTTGTTGTTGTTGTTGTTTTTTGTTTTTTTGCTTTTGTTATGTTTTTTAAGAGAAAAAAATAGAGAAATAGTATAACACTGACGTGTGCTATTGTATCATTACAATTCTACATTTCGTTCCTGAAATCTCTATGCATACCATACCTTTTCAGAGTAATCACCTGAGTTAAAGATGGTCCGTTTAACTGTAGCACTGTTGTTTGTTGTTGCTATTGCTTTTGTTGTTGCTGACGAGGATGAAGACAACTCCTGTGCTGAAACAAAGTAAATATTAACATATTGTTGTGTACACTTATTCATATTTAGTCATGTAATCAAAGTAAAGGAAATGAAAATGTAGCATTGAGGCTTAAATACCCATGGAACATGTCAAAAATAGTCAAAGGAATAACGAAGTGACACTCTTACATCTTAACAATGATTCTGTATTGTTTATTTTATACACTGCATCTAATACTAGAGAGATGCTATTATATATTGTAAAATCTTTTCTCTTTATTTC